AGACATGTGGTGTTCCACTCTGTGTTTCGGACACACTGAAAAATCGCTTGTTATCGACATAAATTTGGAATATCGAGAGCTCTGATAAATAAATGAAGCTCTCCAAATTTAGAAAGTTTGGAGTCAACATTTGTAACGACTCTTTAGATTGTGAGCACTCCAATTAAGGTGAGTCTTTATATTTGGTTTTACAACCTTTTATTGAATGGAGTTGAAGTGGAAACCCTATATATGCCATTTGTGGTAACATCATCATTATCCATAATGGGAAGATATATGTTCCCATCAAGAACAAAAATTGAAAACAAACAAAGCTAATTACACCAAATCAAATACCAAATTTACATAATTCAAAACCAAACCGGTTATATGGTCTCACACATGCGATACCACACACACCAGGACAATGAACCTGCTTTATTTTCACTGATCAAGTTTGAATTTTCTTCTTTGTAAATTAAAGTAGGTTTAGAATTTCATCTTGCTAAAAAACACCAGTGTATGGTCCCACGTACTGGACGCGGATATATTTAAACTTTTTTTTGGGATAAAAAAAGGATATAGAAGTTGGGATACAAAGTCAACTTATAACTGAAATGAAAATCTGTAGTATAGCTAATTTGCTTTTGGACTGAAGTTTCTATAAACTCGATTGGTCTGTCTCTAAAGGCATGCAAAGCCGCAAGTTTCTGTGTAGACAAACGACTCGAAGTTTGGAAGATGGAACTCATAGACAATCTCTGTGATTTGGAGACTAGTCTTGGCACCAATATTCATCATGAAATCATGGCCCTCTCGGGCAATGACACCTCCCTTACTACCGATGATTATCATCAGCCACAACCTGATGATCATCAGCTCCCTATCAACTTCACTCAACACATTCAAAGCTTTTCTCAAATTTCTGATGATCCAAATCATGACGATATCTTAGTTGCTCATTCCACAGCTCATCTCATGAATGGAGATTTTCGCCAAGAAACCGGAAAAGGAAAGGCACGTGCGTATTATTGCATACAAAATTATATAGTTGCTTGTTAGAGAGCTAGCTAGCTTATATATATGTCGTCTGGTTAATTGACCATGGGATTGATCATGCATTTATGCTTAATTTCTGGCTAGATTGATTTTCTGAGATTCGTTTTCCTTTGTTATTGAAATGCGCGATTGGTGATTCTTGACAGTCGTTAGGAGGAAGAAAGAGAAAGAATAGTGAAAAGGATGGAGAGAAACTAAAAGAAGTAATTCATGTGAGAGCTAAGAGAGGCCAAGCTACCGATAGCCACAGTTTGGCAGAAAGGGTATAAATATATCACTTCTTTTTAAATTGCATTATGTTACCAGTATGTGGTTTAGAACTAATAATTATCTTGTTAGTTTTCAAGGCCAGATTTTGAAGCACATTTAGCTTAATTATCTTGCCTTAATTAAATAGCTAAAACCCATAATATTCTGATAACTATACTATTTATAAGTACGTGAAATTATATATTGACGGGATGCTGGTCTCACGCATTTGCTTAACATGCATGGTATTATTAGCTAAGAAGAGAGAAAATAAACGAGAGGCTGAGATGCCTGCAAAATCTGGTTCCAGGCTGCTACAAGGTATGCATAATTTGATTAACTTCTTGTCGCTTAATTTGAATAATCTACGAAAGAAATGAATGATTATTTTCTTTCTAAAATTTAACTGATATCGTTGCTCTTTTTTTTATGGTTGAATTAATTTGCAGACAATGGGAATGGCAGTAATGCTGGATGTGGTTTGCAGTTACGTTCAGTCACTGCAGAACCAAATTGAGGTGAGTCACATCTTAAATAATTAATCATATCATATCATGGAGATTTCTTACATAATCATCGATCAGTGATCATATATGTCCAATAGAATATTAACAAAGTGCTTTGTATTGGTGGTTTCCAAGTTTCTGTCAATGAAACTTTCTGCAGCAAGTGCGTATTATGATTTCAATACACCAGGTGTGGATGCTGTGGACGCAATGCAACAGCAGCAGGTATGCATATACACGCTTACGCAAATATATATATGTGTGTGTGTGTGTGTGTGTGTATCCACATTAAAATATGAATTTGTATAGACTATAATCAATATACGGAAATGTTTTTGAGATTCATTCTTTCTTCTCATGCTCTATTTACTTTTTATTTTCTAATCGAAAAAAAAAAACAAAGGAGAATTCATGAAATTAAATAAATAGGAGTGTGCGTTGTTAATGAGCTTTTAAAAGATGAAGGTGATAAAAGCGAGCAATGTGGAATGTTGCAGGGGACAAGTACTGCATATCCGGAGGTACAAGAGATGGTAGTAAGATCAGAAGGGTATGGAGGACTTCCTCACTACAACAACGCAACATGGCCTATTTGAGAAGTGAGAGTACGCTCAATCTTCTTCAGATCCCATGCTCCTAAACCCTACATGTACACGTGGAGACAATGAAGCACAAGACGACGACCAATACCATCTTCTCTAGCTTCCATGGATCCCATAATATATACAATAAAATATTCTTTTTCATGCTTATATATTTTTGTAGGGTGCAAATGAATCTTGTACTATATAAATGAACCAAAAATAATAAGATGGGAAAGGCTGAGACAGATCAAAGTGGTAGTTATATAGATCATGCATGATTTGAAGACAGCTTCACAGATAATAACTTGATTTGAAAGAGTCATCTGTCATGTGGATACATATGTGGGTTTCTAAGCTTACCCTTAAGATTAAGGGCACTGATGTCCCAACGCGGTTTTGAGTGCTGAAAGAGAGGCAACCTGAGACTGGCGTATAGTATAGTAGAGTAGACCATTGTCTATGAATCCCCTAATTGGCCACTGAAGTAAACAAGGGGACATTACCTAAACTTAGATCGTTGGGATCATGCATGATTCACATGGAATGAGTTCACAATTATGTGGCGTTCCTTGTCCAATAATAAATTACTTAGTGTTAATTTTTCTCCACGTAGAAATGTATTATTGAATCAAGACGTTACGTGACAGTGAACCCGTTCCATGTAAGTTGCTCTCCCGAAAAGGGCAGGTTTTAGAGACTCTAGACTCTAGTTATAGTTGAGGTGGGTGGAAAAAACTTGTATGAGTGTCCCGATTATATCATTCGTGGAGCACTTCTACAAATAACGAATTAAACTTACTACTCACACACAAAATAAATTTAATAATTATTATTCATTCTTTTCTTGTTCCATATATTTGGATCCAATCTCAACTATGGCCCAAATTCACTTCAAGAAGTATAGACCAATGGGCCGCAAAACTTTTTTCATGCCAGACTAAACCTCCCAAGGCAACCCCCGGGACCTCAAAGTCGGGACCTAATTTGTAGGGGTTTCTTAATATGCAAAGACTTGGCCTTGTTGGACTTGGCAGAGTGAGTGAGTTCCTTGATGTGGAGCTCAGAGCCAGGGATTAAGAACTTGATCAATACGGTGTCGTTAATAACTCCTTTTTTCAATCTTTAGATTTTTTTTAAACTAACTGAGTTGTTGTGCTTCAATATTTGATCAGGTTGTCATGAACTTGTGGAAAGGTTTGGCATTAGCGCTGATGCAGTTGCCCGCATTGGGGAGGCATTAGCATTGTCCGATTTGTGGCTCAAATTCCTCGCACCTCTCAGAGGCTTCTGTAATTACGTCTGGATATCTTTAAGATTTTATTTTTCTACCACGATATGGATATGCGTGTTTGTATCTGCTAACATGGTACGTGCAACTAGAGTGGAGATAAGGTCATCTTCAACCGATCCGGTCAAAAAGTTATAGGTTAAAAATAGTTTTGAATGACACGAAAACTATTTCCGACCGAAGGCTAGGCCAAAGGGCTTATGGGCTATACCGGGCCCAAACCCTCAAATCAAGCCAACGGGCTGGCCATTTCAAGCTAGCCAGCCCTCCAACTCAACCCATTTGAATGCCAACGGCTAGCTAACATCATGCTGCCGTCAGTCTACCGTTGAAATTTGAATTTTTTTTTTGGACGAATTTAAAAAAAAAAAACTTCTAATTTTTTTTCCTATAAATACCTACACCATTCCTACAACATTGAAAGCTGAAAATAAGAAGTGTCACGTAGATAAGAATCCTATCTAAAATTCGCACAACCAATTACATCTCAACATGTGACACTTGAAATCATATCCGAAAAAATTATTAAGATTACATAAAGATAAGAAATCTGGAGAGTTACTCATGTTAGCAACACGTGTCACTCGAAATCCTATAAAAAAAATTGAGATTACATAAAGATAAGAAATCCAGAGGCTTATTCATTTGGCGACAAGTGGCACTCAAAATATGTCTGAAAATCTTATTTTAATATGGTGGTTTAATTTAATTAACCATATTAATTTAATTAAAATAATAAATTATGTTTGGCTTATAGCCCAAACATTCTCGGTTGTAGACGGTTTTTTGTCAAATAGCTATGTTTAGCCTATGACCCTTTGATCTATTCGGTTGGAGATGGTATAAAATATGTTTAGCACTGTTTATTAAATATAATTTCTTGCAAGACTACATGGTTAAAGGGAGTCTTTCAGCCCTCCTTCGATTGGAGATGACCTTTGTCATACACGTCAGGTTCCGTGGCTCCTCAGCTGCTCGCTTCTTGGCATGGGCCATTGTGGGTCTTGAAGCATCTTGACGGGCTCCACATAAATCGTAACAAACACGTTACAGGCATTGGGCCACTGTGACTCTGAACTGCGAGTATGGGATCTGAGCCCATTCGGTGGCTAGGACTGGGCAAGATTGGAATTGTGACCCACTAGGTCGAGCCTCCGAAGAAGGTAGTTGGATTACTAGGACACCACGTGTGTGCTTCTAGTTTTGACTCTTGGTTAGGACTTGCTAGGAGTAGGCATGCGGGAATGACTAGTCATCTCATTACCGCTCTGTCTTGACTTTAAATGAACACCAAGGCAGGCACGGACGAATGTGATTTGCCTTGCCTGCAAAGAGAGAGAGAGAGAGAGAGAGAGAGATGGAGGAGCAGGGAAAGAATGAGGAGAGGAAGAAGGTGATGGTGGCGATCGACGAGAGCGAGTTTAGCCTATACGCCTTCAATTGGGCGCTCGAAAATCTGCGCGAGACCATCCAGAGTTCGCAGCTAGTCGTCTTCACTGCACAGCCCATTGACTTCGCTTCCACTTATGCTGCCAGTTACGGAGCTGCCCGTAGGGTCTCTAAATCTTAATCTCACTACCTCTTTTGTTGAAGTTACCGGTTTGTAATTGTATGCTTGATCAAGCTGTTGTTTTCTGATTTTTCTCTATACATTGTGCAGCTGCTCAGTTGGTAACATCTTTGCTTGAAAACCACAAGAAGGTGGCGCTGGCTTTGTTGGAGAGAGCTAAAGAAATTTGTGCCAAACATGGGGTACAAATACAATCAAAGTTCCTTTCTTTTCCTTCCTAAAACTACATCTGATTTTGCGAAAAATTCCTCGTTTTCGACTGTGCAGATTGTTCCAGAGACAGTGACAGAGGTAGGCGATCCGAAGGTGGTGATATGTGAAGCAGTCGAGAAACACAACATCCAGTTGCTTGTGTTAGGCAGCCACGGTCGCGGAGGTATCCAAAGGTATGTGCGTTCTTATTCAGTTTGGAGTGTAGATGGCTTAAAACCTAGTGCGAAAATCGCTTTCTGATTGATATGTTCTGTTGGGACAGGGCTTTTTTGGGAAGCGTAAGCAATTACTGCGTACATAACGCTAAGTGTCCTGTTCTTGTTGTGAGGAAACAGAACTGAACGCTTATATGTTCTCTTGTTCTTCAAGTTAATATCCAAAACCCAAACTTGCATCTTCCGCAAGAAAATGTTGCGTGCTGCTTGATAATTTTTGAAATTAGAGTCATGTAATAACTGGAAACTTCATGATTGAATAAAGCATGCATTTTATGGTTTGATTAAGTGACACGTGTTGGCCCATATCAATAATTCATATCTCGATTGTAGACTGTACTTAGATTGAAAGCATCATTCTGGAACTTTTCATTATGCGTTACACTAGTGATACAAGTAATATTGTCCAACAGTTAACTGGTATTGCCCCACGTCTTCCATCAAATCCATCCAATTTTCAAATTCAGATTCGTGAAATTTAATTTAACGATTAAAATTATTATAATTTTTAAAGAGATTTCCTGTTTATAGTCGTTTGATCAAATTTTAAAAACTTAAATTTACGAATTAGGTTGATTTAGTGCAAGGAATCCGAAAAAAATATCTTTCCGAAAATGATAGTGGCCCATTCAATAAAATAATGCATTGATAATACCCCCAAGAAGATAAACATAGCACGTCAGAAACTTGTTTCATAATTCCGGAAATGTGACACGTAGTGATCGGACTTTGTGGGGCGGCTCACTAGAAAGTTTTCACGTTGTCACGATTAAGGCCAATTTAGTCAAGGAGAAATTCAAATTAAGCGACTTATTTTAGAACTTTTGAGACTAAATATTTATGCCTTTTTTTTAATTTTTAATTAAGCTTTTCAAGCTTTTAATTAAGGTGCTTTGACTTGAGTTCACATGAGCATTAATTTATTTATTTACATATCAGCATTTAATATATATTAAATATTTTTTTTATTAATGTGCTTTCACCTGTATTTTATTTTCATTTTTTTATAAACGAACAATATTATTTACATTAAAGAGTTGAAGGAGTAGATCAAGAATTACAATGAGTTTTGTAATAATATGGTTCAAATTCGTCCTCGATGAAAATCGAACTTTAAGACATTTTACTTACAAGTGAAGAAAAATACTAGTAGATCGTAGTATTAAGTGACTATTCTTCTTGTTTTTAAATCTCATCGCTTGCTTAATTTAAGGAACTCCTATTATCTTAACGAATAATACTTGGTTACTAAAAAATGAGTAGGAATTCCTACTTAAAATTCTTAATGTTTTAATCACTGAGTTTTGTACTTATGATCAGAACCGTTCATACTATGAATCACACTATAAAGATCATCTCTGGAAAAAATAAATTAAAAACAAGGTCGTTTAGTTAATCTATGTAGCAAATACATAGACGGTTCGTAATGCTTTTACCAATGTCATTCATTTGTTTTAAACAATTTGGTGATTAAACGACCTTAATTTTAATTGATTTTTTGTAGATGTGATCTTTATATGATGATTTATAATATGAACAGCTCTGATTATAAACACGAAATTCTATAAATTGTCAACAAATAATTTTGAGAAATTTTGAGTATGAGTTCCTACTCATCTTTGAGTAGCCAAATATTATTCCATCGTAACTATTAGAAAGTTTTTTTTTAAATCAAAATTAATTGGTTAATTTAATACAGCTCTACAATCATTTTCAGAACCTAATTTCCAGGTCATCAAATTTTTCTGTTTTTTTTTCACTCTCCAACGTACCCAGTAAAATCTGTGTTTCAACTTTAAATTGTATGCACGCTACATGGAAATGTACCAATATGGAAAACGAATTAGAATTACATAATGTATCTAACGATTTGGTACATAACTACGTATTAGTAGTTTTGTATGTATCCGAATTACACAACGTACCAATGATTTGCATGTACCAAAATGAGCATTTCAAATATAGATTCTAGTAAACTCGGGCACTTACAATAAGGGCATCTTCAAACAACAAAGTTACAATTAAAAAGCTAAAAAATTTACTAAACAAACACTTATATATTAGTCTATAAAGTTTTTCATACAAAACGCTTAAAATCATTGTTGGTGAAGTCAGTCATGTTGATACTAAGAGAAATGCTAAGGAGACTCTTTCAAAGTGAGACTCTTTATGGACTTTCCCCCACTTAATGTTTTTGGCGCAATGTTTAATAATGTTGGTACGAGGATTGTGCTAAAAACATGAGGTGACGGAAAATCCATGGAGAAGTCTAATTTTGGAAGAGTCTCCTTAGCATTTCTCTTGATACCAATTAGCATATAGGGTTTAATTTTTATTTTAATTAGGGTTGGTCATTGAGATGCAAAATTGTACAATTTTTCTGCACCCAACAAAAAATTTGAGTGGAGGCACCCACCCCCTCTAGGCCTATAGTGGCTCCGTCTTTGCGCACCTATATCAAAATGTTTTATTGTTTAACAAGTTGCTTGTAATTCTGCTAGTTAAGAACATTTATTTTTACATTTAGAAGTTTGTGTTGTTTCTCCTTTTCATAATTAGATAAATTTAGTGTTGTTTCTGTTGATTTTTTTTAATATCATTCAAATAAAAAATAAATAAATGGAATTAGAAGCACTGGCAAAACGTAAACTTGACGAATTTATGAATGATAATCCTCTCCGAATTCTCTCGATAATTCTTTAATCACGTTCGTTCATCGTATATCGTGCAATCAGAAATTATTGTAAATTTTTTATGTAAAATTGAATAAAAAAATTACCTGATAAAAACTAATCGTACGATACGATGAACGACATAATCGGAGAAGATTTTCATTCGATGAAAAAAGAGCAAAGTTATCTAAATCCTCTTATATGTGGGGTCGGACTAGGTGTTTGACTGGCGGTTGTGACCTGAGAAAACCCATCCTCTGTTTCTTCAACTACCATTTTGACAAAATCCATCCCAAAAACCCGATAAATAGAGATACAACTGCCCCTGGTTTTGCCAACAAAAAAGCGAAGGAAAAAAATGGGAGAGGCGATTCCGAGAGGAGAAGAAAGAATGGGAGAAGTGGTTGCAAAGGGAGCCGAGAAGAAGGTGATGGTGGCCATTGACGAGAGCGAGTGCAGTCATTACGCTCTCATGTGGGTTCTCGACAACCTCAAAGACTCCATAACCAACTCGCCCTTGATCATCTTCATGGCTCAGACTCCCTCCAACGGCAACATCACCTTCTCGGCGTCGCTCGGCGCTGCTCGCATGTACTGTCCTATGTCTTCCAGTTAAGTTGTTCAGAATTTCTTCATGAGGTTTTTCTTTTGTTCTTTTTAAGGTTGATACCGTACACATAAGTGGAGATGTGAAATCTTCTGACAAGTTGTTTGTTATTCGTGTTACGGAATTCAGGTCAGGAGTTTGTTAACTCTTCCCAAGAAAATCAAAGGAAGTTTGCGTTGGCACTGTTGGAGAAAGCTAAACAGATCTGTGCTAGTCGTGGGGTAAGGCCACCGTTCTTCATCTTCAGTCACAAAACATTATGTTTGTGTGTGTGTGTGTGTATATATGCTTGTATGTGTGTATATACTTTTCGTACAAGCGCTTCTTTTGAGACTGCTTTTGTTGGATTCCCTGCTGCTTGTTTTTGCTATAACTGATTTTTGCAAAAGCAGTTGGGATTTTCACTAAAAATCTTACTTCTTAGAGAATTACTTAGAAGTTCTTATTGATGAAGCACCTAATATGTGCTTTTTCAAAAAACGCTTGTGACCCGATCACTTTTATGTTTACCATACTTTGTCAAAATCACTTTTGGTTATTAGTAATCGGTTTTAGCTCTTCCAGAAACTCTTAAACATGCACTAGGTAGTAGGTACAATGTATTATTCAACTGTGAATTTTCATAAAATCCATATTTTTATATGGCAATTAAGCCCATCAAGGTGCTCTGATGTGGTCCATGCAGATGCATGGCATCTTTGGGATATTCCACCCGTGTGAAACATAAGTTTACCATTTTGTTTTCCATAGGTAAATGCTGAGACAGTCACAGAAGTTGGAGATCCGAAAGAAGCCATATGTGATGCTGTCAAAAAACACGGCATCAAGCTGCTAGTTGTAGGCGAGCGTGGGCTCGGAAAAATCAAAAGGTTAGTATCATTTCATCCAATTTTCTACTTTTGTGTGTGTTTTCCTCCATTTCATTTAGGGGTCTGACTATTTTATGTGCCGAGCCAGGGCAATTCTTGGTAGTGTCAGCGACTACTGTGTTCAGCACGCCAATTGCCCTGTCCTCGTCGTGAAGAAATCACAAGCTGATGCTCTTGCTTGACATATGATTCGTATTCAGTATGTAAATATTTCTACATCAAAAGAGTGTGGTGAGACATATTGTGTTTAGATTTGGATGACTCTGGTATCGATCCACATATTTTATATAGATTTGGATGATACTGGTATCTATTGAACGATGACGATGTAAGAAAACTTATGACAGTTAATATGAACCTTGTGCTGTAAAAGAACAGTATTGTTGAAATTAATTAAGCGGTGAGATATATTATACAGGGTTTATAATTGTTCAAGTGCTTGAAACAAAGAGATTTCTAGAACAATACATAACAGCATGACTAAAGTACAATATCTTTAAATTTAGAGGCATATAAGCTTCTGGAAATCTTATTGACTTCAAGCAGAACAAGTGTTCTGTCACCCGAAGATGCGGTTGAGGGTGGCTGCTAGACGGACGCCACCTTGAGCTAACCGCCTATGGACTATTGGTAGCCGGGAGAGGAAGTATTCATCTGCAAATTAACAATGTTTAATGTATTCTCTTCATTTTTTTGTTCTCCTCAATTTAACGAACAAACAAGCATACACTACCATAGAATTCAACCCATTCATGCTTACCTTCTAGCACTGAACCTTCATTTGCACCCTTGTATGCCCAATCACAAGCTGCTTTGATGCCTTCAGATGCGTATCTGTAAATAAGTACCCGGTAATTAAACTTGGTTAGCGAATCATGTAGGCCGAGCCTTGCTGATCTTATCATCAAGCAGAAACTTAACACAACCAGAAGGCTCGAAAACATAAAGTTTGGTCAAATTTGTAACATAAGCGAATGATACATACACGTCGGGGCACGCTGTCTTGTTTAGGCTGCAGGTCTCCCAACCCTTAACTTGATCTGACCATTCAGTCTGTGTTCAAAGAAATATTAAGCATCAAGGGACAAACTTTAGGATTCAGACATTCCAGAAAATATTCTACTGCAGTTGATGTTGCAAGGTACCGTAATGTTCTGTTTAATCGCGTCAATCAGTTCTTCGACGTTGGAATTGTAGAATCTCTCTTCCGCTGTCTCAATTATGTTGGAATCCCATATCTGTATGCATCGTACATTTTGAAAATTTAATTACATTTAGTAGTAGTTTGTGGAAATTTTGAACTGGCAAATGAGACTTACATGATGAAGATTTTGCTTCGTTGTGTACCAGTGAACATCAATTGTGTTGCCTCCCTTGTCCGGACCAAAACCTACATGCAGAGGCTGCGTAACACGCGTAAGGTCACGATCATTGGTAACATTACATCATGTGTGTTTAGTTATACAGATTGTGCCATACCTGATGGATGTCTCCTATGAAATGGGAAAGAAATAGAAGCGCCTGCGTGAGGTTATCTGATATCACAATAAAAACAAAGTTAAATAACAAAACATGGTCATGTAATCGTATAGTCCAACTATGGAACGGAATCTAATATATCATCGATAATGTATTGATATGATCGTCTCTATCTAGAAAAACAAAAGGATTTACATTTAGGTTGAGAAGAATGGCTACTGTACGTGAGAAGCTGGGTGGTATAATTGTTAATTGCCCCCGCAACACAACGCCCCTTCTCTCCAGTCTCATCTTTGCAGTCCCCTGGAGATTAATCATTAGTAATTACATTATTAATTAGAATTAATATTTATACGTGCATACTAATCACATGTTTAAAGGAACATACTATTGTACTGGTAATTGCAAACATCAGGAGTGTTGATAAAGTGAAGGGCAGATGACCAGTGGTAAATAAACTTGACATGATCTGGCCATATGCACAGGCTGCCCAAGTCATTCTGTGCATAGTCAGGAAGCAGTTGCTTTACCGCATCCGCCGCCGCCGTGCTCAGCCTAGACTGTCATCCCATCACCCAAAAGAAAAAACACACCCGAGCCGTTACTAAACATTTAACCCAGAGGGAAAATATGGTACATCTTTTTTACTATAGCCAACTTGGTTAAGTCGAGATCTGAGAAAAATAAGACGTTGTATAAGAACCTGAGCAATTCTGCAAATTGTGAGATGCCCATCAGTTCCCCAGCCATGAATCACAGGAAAAAGAAGGAGCAGCGAGCACAAGGTAACAACAATCTGGATCCTGCCAAACTCCATTGCTTCCCCTTCCTCCCAAGAAACAAGAATACTGAAAAATGCAGCTAATAAATGGCGGATTTTCTCTGTTTTTATAGTTAGTAATAAGAACACAAATTGGAAAGGAATTTAAATTGAATTATGTGGATGTCATTTTACATATAAATTAACTTTTGTTTTTGGCAGGGATGGAGATAGGCTTTCACCTGATTGAATCATGTGGATGACATTTTACAAGCACGACAATTGTGGCTCTCTGCGTTCACACACCAACCGGCTACGTGCTTGAAAAGGAAGGCAACTTTTAAAAAGGAAGAGATTATATGAAACGGGAAATGGTGATGGAGGTGGGAATGCAACGGTTACGGTACGTGCCCTAGAAAGCCAAGCAAACAGAATGTACCTAAGTATCCCACAGTTCCTGTGCTTTCCCTCACTCTTTACATTAAGTCTTGGATTGAAGCTTCTCTCAGTTTGACTTGGCATCAACGTTGATGCAGTTGCTTGCACGGGTGATGCATGCGTTAGTATCTTTAGATTTTTCCCTCAAAGTCCTTGGAACTCTCGAAATACATTTCAATATTTACGTTTGGATCTGCTAAGTTTTTCTTCTACATACGTACGTTCTGTATGCATTCTTGGATCTGTGATTAATTGGGAGAATTCATTAATCTTGTTTTCTGTAAAATTGTTAATTACATGACCCTTCATATGCAATTAGGGTGGAGACAAGTTTTTCATAGAGGCTAGGGTCAATGGCTCCTCATGCACTCAAGCTGCCAAATCGAGAGGTTTGTCATTCGATGGCAACTGATTTGTAGCTCAAATAATTAAGAATATTTATCTCTGCATAATTGTACCAAAGTTCATCTTGTACTATAATAATTCTTAAAGATATGACCGTGGAAGATCATTTATGTTAAGTAATAAGTCTTAAGGCAAACATAAGGCTAGAGAAAGGCTATAATGAAAACCAAAGATTGCCTATTACTATTAACCTAACATTTTCCTGCCTCCACCCATAATATTCATTATTTTCTTATTAAGCTATTTTTTTATAAAAATATTTTTACGTCATTTTCTTGTAAATAATGCTGTAGGCCCAGAAATTAAGATGGGCCATCTCAACTTCGGTAGAAATTTGAATAAACTGTGGGTCTTGAGCACACGCCATCCATCTCAACATGAAGACGAAATCGCCTTCGGCCCAGCTCCAAATTTTCATATCTCAAATTTCATCCCCTTTTCTTCTGGGACCAACTTCATGTTAGGAGTACTAAGATCCAATGGTTATGAAATGGACAAGTGTCAAATGAATATGAAGTTAGTTGAGTTGGTTATGTTGTGACTTAGAGTGTAAGCTACCAAAGGGATATTATAAATAGCTTGTAACAAATCATTGTAACTAATAAGAAAAGAATATTACAATTGAATAACTGATTTCTCTCTCTAAACTCTAATTCTTCTACTTCTCTCTCTGTCTTTCTTTCTTCTTCTTTCTTGTATCTGTATAATCCTCTTCTTCAAGAACCTATGATGGTTTACATGGTATCATCGCCCGAACAAGCGTAAAACGCTTGCCGGTTTTGTCGATCTTGGTTTCGATTGCTTCCGCTACTGTGATTGCTTTTCTTTTGCTTTGGTTTTCTGGAATATTGGGTTATTGTTGATCGTGTTTCTGATATATTGGGGTGTTTTCTGCAAATCTTCGTCTGGTTCTTCACTCGTTAAAGGGTGCATACCAACTGTTTGTGATTTGGTGTCAGTCAAGATTCTTTGGAATTTCTCTACAATTTGCAACAATGGTAACAGCAGCTCAGTTACAGATCTTACAGTCTCCGATTACTTCGTTGATTTCGTCTGTTTCCAGTTCGGTTACTGTGAATTGGACGAGACGAACTATTTGGCTTGGCATTTTCAGATGCAGCTCCTTCTTGAAGGCCATAGCATCATTGGTTTTGTTGATGGTTCAATGCCGTGTCCTGCTCAATTCAGTCAAGATTCCTCTGCTACTTCTGCAGTTTTGTCTGGTGATTCGTCTACACGGATTCCTTCTGATGACTACACTATATGGAAGATGCATGATAAGGCATTAATGCAATTGATCACTGCGACTCTATCTCCTGCTGCAGTTTCTTGTGTCATTGGAAGTACTAGCTCCAAAGAATTGTGGACTCGTCTTAAAGATCAATTTTCTACAGTCACAAGAACGAGTATTTTCCAACTCAAATCCGAACTTCAGACAATAAAGAAGGGTACTGATTCTGTCACATTATATTTGCAGAAAATTAAGGAAGCAAGAGATTTGTTGTCTGCTGCTGGTGTATTCTTTGATGATGATGACATTGTGATTCTTACACTAAATGGTTTGCCTGCTGAATTCAATACCATAAGGTCTGTGATCAGGGGTCGGGAGAGTGTGATATCACTGAAAGATCTTCGATCTCAATTACTTGCTGAAGAAACTTTGCTTGAAAATTGTTCTCATTCACCTGTGTTGTCTGCATTAATGGCTCAAAGTAATGGTTTACCTTCCAAGAATCAGTCTTTTTCTGGGAATTATGGTAACAATAACCATGCTAGTCCGAATTCGACTGCATACAAGTCTTTCAATAATACCAAAGGCAGGAATCGGTTCACTCCTAACTTCAATCCCAAGTATGGCAATTACAAGAATTTTCATTCGAGTCCTGCTCCTGGAATCCTCGGTACTTCACCACCAAGATCAAACAATTATGGATTTCTGTCTCAACCTTGTCAAATCTGTGGGAAACACAATCATTTGGCATCAACATGTCGTTTTCGTAATACAAACTCTGTACAGGGTTGTCAAATTTGTGGAAAGAACAACCATTTTGCGGATACTTGCAGATTTCGCAACTCTGGTGCTCCTTCTGGTTGTACTATATGTGGAAATCAATATCACAGTGCAGACACATGTTTTCAAAAGAATTCTAATCCTCAACTCAATGCTCTACATGCTGCAACACCTAGTGGTCCATATTCTCCATTCACAGTGCCAGTGCCATCTGCACCATCCCAGCAACAAGTATGGCTTACTGATTCTGGTGCCAATAATCACATGACCTCAGATTTGAGTAATCTCTCCTTGGCAACTCCATATCCATCACATGAGACAATTCAGACAGCGAATGGTGAAGGTTTAGCAATATCTCATATTGGTTCTACACTTCTCAGAACTTCAAAGCAGCCTATTAAACTTACTTCAGTTCTTTATGTACCAAAATTGTCTCAAAAATCTGTTGTCTGTGCATAGGATTTGTCTGGATAATAATTGTTGGTTGATTTTTGATGCGTTTTCTTTTTGGATTCAGGACAAAGCCACAGGGAGGATACTTTACAAAGGGCTGTGTAACAATGGATTGTACCCCATCATCTCTTCAACATCTCCTGCAGCAAGCTTCACAGGACATCCTGCAGCCTTTCTGGGAAAGCAAGTTCCTCACACAGTATTTGGCATAAGAGATTAGGTCACCCTTCAAATTCAATAGTTTCTCAGGTTCTTACATCGTCAAATGTTTTCTGTGTTACTGATACAAACCCATCTCTGTGTCAGACCTGTTTAGAGGGCAAATTTAGCAAATTGCCATTTTCTTCTTCCCTAGTCAAGTCTGTCAAACCTTTTGATATTGTTCATAGTGATGTGTGGGGGCCTGCTCCGTGTATTTCTTTTGACGGTTTCAAATACTATGTCACTCTCATTGATCATTGTACAAAATATTCCTGGATTTTTCCTATCTGCAATAAAAGTGATGTTTTTGGAATCTTTAGGGCCTTTTACAATTTTATTCTCAATCAGTTTCAAGTCTTCATTAAAACTCTTCAAAGTGATGGTGGTGGTGAGTATGTTAGTAAGGCATTTCAAACATTCTTATCTGATAAAGGCATCCATCATCAAGTGTCTTGTCCTCATACACCCGAACAAAATGGCATTGCCGAAAGGAAACACAGACACATCATTGAAACATCTATCACTTTGTTACAAACTGCATCTCTACCATCCCTGTTTTGGTCAGTTGCTTGTCAAACTTCAGTGTACTTAATCAACAGGATGCCATCTCCTTCTTTACACAACCAGTCTCCATTCCAATTGCTGTATAATTTAAAACCTGAGATCCAACATCTGAAAGTTTTTGGCTGTTCTTGTTATCCTTGGTTAAAACCTTACACCAACACTAAACTAGACCCTAGAACAACCATATGTGTATTTTTGGGGTATGCATCTAAGTATAAAGGGTATATCTGCTATGATGTGACTAAAAACAAAATCTATATATCTAGACATGTCATTTTTGATGAGACAGAGTTTCCTTATCGGTTTCTTCACACTACACATCACTCTACTTCTTCAACACTGCCATCAGTCCTTCAAACCCCAAGTCCAGTTCCAGATCACAATAATGTTCTTGTGTTCCCACACCATAACTATCATATGAATTCCTCATCAAATAATGTCATGCCAAATACTGTACCTATTCCAATATCAGAAGGGTCTACTACCCATCCAGGGACAGTTTCAATCTCAGATACAGAATCTCCAGGTTGCAGTCAATCCATTGCTACATCACCAACACAGCCCTTGTCTTCCATACTCCCTGTGGTACCTGAATTCCAACCTGACCAATTGCAAGTGGTTCTCTCCATACCTCCTGTTAACCTCCACCCCATGCAGACAAGATCTAAAAGTGGTATTATTAAGAAGATTGCTTTTCTTGCGGCTGTTCATGACAATGGAGGTGTTGACTTGACTCAAGTGGAACCTGCCACTTATAAATATGCTTTAAAGACTCCAATATGGTATGAGGCTATGAAAGAGGAGATTGCTGCATTACACTCTCAGGGTACATGGTCTTTGGTTCCTCTACCAAAACATAAGAATTTAGTTGGTTCCAAATGGGTGTTTAAGATAAAAAAGAATGCTAATGGGTCCATTGGGAGGTATAAGGCACGACTGGTCGCTCAAGGCTTTAATCAAGAAGAAGGGATTGACTATGGGGAAACCTTTAGTCCGGTTGTTAAACCAACAACAGTGCGGTTAGTCTTAGCTTTATCAGCACACTTTGGTTGGTCATTGCGACAGTTGGATGTGAAAAATGCGTTCCTTCATGGTATTTTGCATGAAGAGGTGTACTTGGCCCAACCACCTGGTTTTGTTGATATTCATCATGAGGACTATGTTTGCAGATTACATAAGTCTTTATACGGATTGAAACAGGCACCTAGAGCCTGGAATGAGAGATTTACCTCCTTTCTACCATCTTTGGGGTTCACATCTACTTATACTGATCCTTCTTTGTTTGTGAAACTGGTTGACAGTTCTGTGGTCATTTTACTTCTGTATGTGGATGACATTATTATTACTGGCAGTGCAACTATAGCAATTACTGAGGTTATTCAGTCACTTGCTAAGGA